CACAAATACATACACTAACCTAGGCCTGCACAAGATCAAGATCATTGGCGTCACTGTCATCCACCCGCACATCTTATTGTGCTAGGAGGTCCCCAGAGACCACAGCACTCCACACGCTGTCACTGGAATGACGAGGCCTTTCTCCAGAGCCCTCCTGATGGTCCTGCCCGAGGTCTTCCTGAGGACTTGTCACTCTGTTCAGTGATATGCCCATTGCATTTGCTTCCCGTGTTTGTTCATCCTAGGCTGGCTTGTAAACTCATAACGTACCATGAACGTTCCTATTAGTGAACACCTGTCCACAGTGGAGTCTTTGCAGGCTACTTTTGCTGAGGTCTGCAAAAGCTTCAGATACATTTTCTTGCAAATTTTCTAAGAGATTCATCTTTTTCTTCTCCTGCAGTTTCCTTTCCTCTTGCCTCTTCAGTTCTGGGTTCACAGGCAGTAGGAATTTTTCAAATCCATTATCATCTGATGAGACCACCATGTATATGAATGAGGCCCATCATTGTCTGAAATGCATTTGCACAGAACATGACTGTATTCACACATATTAAATTTTAAGACAAAAACAGGACTTCAGCATTAAGAATGGCTTGGCAATTACTTAGCAAAAAGTAACTTATTGAATTAAGTCTTTATTAAACATTTCTTACACCTCATCATAAGCACTTCGGTTGAGCTAGTTACTACAGATAAGTGAGAACTCTCATGCCGATCTCCCAGTTTGAAAATGTCCTGAAGAATCATGTATTACTTTCACATTTGTTGTAGTTGGATCACATGATTCAGACTATTGAATCTCCACATTCATTTGTCCATTGTCAGATAAAAGGAAACAATCACACCATTGAGGGTGTGACCTTTTTCCTGGCATTGAATTATGAAAGGAATTTGTCATTTGACTTCTTAGGACTTAAAAAAAAAGGAAAGAGGTTTGAACTACAATTCTGTAAATGACACAGACAGAATAAATGGTACGGCTTTTTTCACATCAGTCCTTTTGCAAAAGACAAGGAATAAATTGACCTAGTTAAGCTTTTTATGTAGGAGCTATGTCAACCAGGATTCCACTAGAGAAACAAGATGAGTAGGATGGTTTTATACATATATATGTGCACACACATATACGTGTGTATATGCATGTGCTAAATATATGAGCACACACCTATACACACATATATGAGTATCTACGTACCCACAGACACAAATACATGTCTGTGACACATATATACATACACACGTATATGTGGCTATGTATCAACATATACATGCACACACATGTATATATGAAGATATGTATTGCAAGGAATTGGCTTACCTAATTGTGGAACTAGCTAGACAGGTGTTTTGTTTTGTTTTGGTACAGGGAATTGAACGTGGGACCTTGCACTTGTGAGCCAGGCAGTGGCACCACTGAGCCAAATCCCTGGTCCACCAAGGCAGGGAAGACCCTCAGAAAAGGCAGGCTGGACATCATGGGCATGGCCTGATACTGAGTCCATAGATAGAATCTCTACTTCCTCCCAGAAGCCTCAGGTCTGCTCCTAAGACTTTCAGCAGCTAATGTCAGGCTTACCCAGCCTACCTAGGGTGTTCTCCCTTCCTTAGTACTGTGCAACTGATTATAGATCTTACACCTACTTCTTCTCTCTTGCCTGGATCACTGTTGGGCTGATTACCTGGAGGCTATGGTCCAGCCAAGTTGATATTTAAATCCAACATCACAGAAGCGTGTACAGTTCATGTTCTCTAATAAAGTCTAATAAGAGAAAATAAGAGTTTAGAGAACCAATGCAATAACAAGTGTGTATTACTTTTATAATTTTAAAAGACATTTTTAATTTTTTAAAAAAATCTATGGAAATGGATAACATTTGTCAGTTCTTTCTCAAGAGAAGATAATCCAGGAGAGGTGCACTGCAGAAATGGATGGTGGCTCTTTCCTTCAGTTCATGTCTACTCCTAAGGCTTGGAGAGATAGGATGTTTCTTACAGGTGCCTCAGCAAATGTGAGGCCCTGGTCAAAAATGGCAAGTCCCTGGGTAAATCACAGCCTTCTACATGGTTGGTCAAAGAAGGACTATATGCCCCAGGCATAAGGCATGCAGGTCCCGCAGTGAGACTGAAATTGTTGGAGCTGGGTGTCTTCTCAGCAAGTTCTTCCTCTGTAAATAGCAGTACCACAGAGAGCATTTGCAGACTGGCCCAAAACAACGTCTCAAGTAGGAGTTTTATATCTGCCTAAACCAGACATCACCAAACTTCCTGTGTTCACATGCCCTTAGCAGCTGGGTAAAATTTTCATAGCACCTCTAGGCCAAAAGAAATACCTAATAGTTCTGGGTTTTTTTTAAGATTTAGGTCCAAATAGCATAGTATGATAATTAATATCTTAACAATTTTCCATTAAATTTATTGGTACATTTTGTGTGTACAACACGGTTACATTAATCATTGGGAACTTGTACCTTTACAGCATGATTCTTGGTTCCTATTTTTTCCCCATTCCCCTGTCCTCCCTTCAACCCTCCACCCTTCCCTATTTACAAAGACTTTGTTTCCATTTTTTTTCTTTTCTCGTATATTTTCCTTTCCCATCTTCACAATTTAATAGTCATCTGTATTAGTCCTTTGCCCATTGCTGGAACAAAATATCCAACACCTACAACTTTAAAGAGGAGAAGTTAATTTGACTCCCAGTTTCCAGTGGGTTCAGTCCAAAGTCACCTGGCAGAAACAGCAAGGTGGAATCCCTGATGGAGGCTGGGGACACATCCCATAGCAGCCAAGAAGTAGAGAGAGAAGGGAGGCGCCAAGAACAATAATACACCCTTCCAGCTCACACTCCCAGCGACCCACCTCCAACCAGGTCACTCCTCCTAACAGCATATTCATCTACTGAACGCATCAGGGGATGAATCTACTGAGAAGCAGGGAGCCCCCTGACCCAAACACTTTCTAAACACATGAGACTTTTGGAGGGACATTTTAAATATAAACTATAACATCATCTGAAAAACTAGTTCACATAAACTGGAAAAACATTTTAATTTTATTTTTAAATAATTATGGCCCTGATCCAAATAGATATGTACATCTGTTTTTTGGTGGTATTTGCTTCTTTGGGGTTTTTTTAATCATAATATCTAAAGATCCAGCTTTGTAGTGATACAGTATCACTGAAAGGTGGAACATACAGTTTCCCTTAACACCAAGGACAATTAAGTTAGTGACTCATGGCATCTAACAGATATTGAGTGTTACCATGTTTTCCTCAAATTTTTGGAATATTATAGTTCACCCTTATGAGCTTGTTATGGCACCCTAGGGTGCCTTGGTGCACAGTTTGGGAACTGAATCCCTATGCATTTATACAGAGACCTTGATTTCTAAATAATGTGATTTAAAACCCCAAAACACTTTCAAGATCAGATCTCCTAGATACTTCCTCATTTTACTTGAGACAGATTTGAGTTATTTAACTGATAACACTATATGATGTATCTAAATTTAAATTAAACACTTTTGGAATGGGAGAAAATTGGTAAATTGAATTATTGTTAAATTATCACAGGTATATTCCTGCAGCCTTTACTTCCCCTGCCATACTGAATTGGAGAGCTTTAATTTTTATATGCTCTTCATTTTCTGTTATTTCTTTATGGTTCATTCTTTGCCATACTGGTGAGAAAGAATTTAATGTCCTTATGTCAAGAAAGGCCTATTTATTCTGACAAACTGATCAACCTCCAGGGTGTTCCTCCACTGTGAAACTGATTTTATATCTCATCCACTGGCTAATAAGATGTGAAGTGCTCTTCCTGTCACAACAAGAGATCAGACTTGCTTCCCTTGAAAGCAGGGAGTGAGATCACACTGCGTGATCTTGGTGACTGAAGGAAAAATCTTGGGTGGGCTGTTCTTCCTGAACCCAGGAGGAGCAATAATGACTTGTGGAATAAAAACTGATGCTATGTATATCCTGTTTGTATTGTTTTCCCTTTTCAATACAAAGTAGTCTTATCTTAACCCAAACCAAGCTAAATACCTGGTGATGCTGGAGAACCCTCAAGCCTCTGGAAATCTCTTGAGTGTTCCAGACATTCCAATGGCTTTCTCATGGTGTCTCAGCAGTCAGGTGTCCCTTCGCATCCTGGCTCCATGGCATGTAAAATGCTTAACGCAGCTAGTAGAAAAGCCTGCTGCAACCCACGTACTAGTTTCCAGCAGCTGCCATAACCAAGTACCAAAGACTGGGAGGTTTAACAACAGAAACTTTGTTTTTCATAATCTACCAGGACAGAAACCTGAGATCAGTGTGTCAGCTGGGAGATTTATTCTAAGGCTTCCCTCCTTGGTTTATAGATTGCTACCTCCTCCTTGCATCCTTCCTGGTGACCGTCACCCAGTTGTCTGTGCCCTCATCTCCTAAGGACATTTAGGAGTCATATGAAACAAGGGCTCCAGCCTCACCACTTAAGGACCTATCTCCAAATCTAGTTACATTCTGAAGTACTGGGGGCTAAGTCATCAACATATGAAGTAGAAGGTAAAAGGACAATTCGGTCTTCAACAACCCATTTCTTCTTTCCATAATAGGCTTTCAGTCAAAAAATTGTCCATTGACATTCATAGAAGTCTTCTATGTATACAAACAAAAATTAAGGATGCACTCTGGAAGAAAGTTGTCTTCCTCACATCCCAACAACCCTAGCACCTTGCTGCAGGTGTTCCTTTGCATTACTGTCTCTTCAGTGGGCTGGAAATATTAGGAGGTAAGGAAATATGATACTCTGTAATCCCGCTACAGTGCTCAGAACACACTGAAATAGTGAACAATAGCGTCACAATATAACTTGATTTCTCTTTACAAAAAGTAATTTTACACAGAAACCATCACACAAGGCAGAGAATGAGTATAATGAGTTTGGAAAAAGGGAAATGTGTTGTGGCTGAATGTAACCGAACGTTCCTGATGTGTGGGTATTCTTTTGCAGTTCGTCTTTTGCCGGGACTGCAAGGAAGCGTACCACGAAGGAGAATGCAGCACCCTGTGTGAAGCCTCGGGAGCAGGTTCTCAGGTACAGAATGCCCTCCTCATCCCTTCAAGCAGGGTTCAGGACATGGTGAGGAAAGGAGCTGCTGCCTGAAGGTTCCACTCTGAAACCCCAAGCCACAGAGTGACAGGCCACAGTCCTGGGGACAACAGGGCTCTGACTTCTAAGACCACTCTTTCCTCAGATCACAACGTAGACCCTCTAGCCATTTGGGGTGAGTTTGTAATTCCATGATAGTTTTTCCACAGGTGCGTGTGGAATGGGGATAAGGTTAACATTATATCAAAGGTGTCTTTACAGGGCAGACAAAGCAACTTAACAATGTCCAAATCAGAGAAATCAATCCTCACCTTACTTTTGTTTTTTAAGTGTCTTTGTATAGAATCTTTAGTGAAAATTATCTCTGTGAATGACTTACAGATGTTCTTCATTTTGCCATAGGGTTACATCCCAATAAACCCACCATAAGTCAAAAATATTGCTAGGATAAAAATACATTGAATAGCCCTAACCTACGTAACGTCACAGCTCAGGGACACAAGCACACTGTAGTCCCGGCTGTTACCCATGTGATCACAGGGCTGACTGGGAGTCATGGCTCCCTGTCGCTGTCCAGCATCGTTGATAGTATATATCCATAGCTAGGGGCAGGCTCAACATTCAGAATTTCAAGTACACTTCTACTGACTTGAGTCTTGCTTTTACAACACTGTAGAAAATTGAAAAGTCCAAAGCCAAACCATTGTGACTCAGGGACTGTCTCTACAAAAGTATTATAATGTACAAGGAGATCATCTTTTAGCAGTACCTTGAACTCTGCTAAATTGTATTTCCATCTAAATTAAGTAAAGATCATGTTTTCTGAACCTTACTCTCTAATGTGCTACATCAAGCTTAGGGAAATGCAAATGTGCTTCCTTTTATTTATTAGTTATGATCAGCCAAACCTTAGGGGGAAGAAGTAAAAACGTCAGCACAGTTGATCAATTTGTTCATGATTTTTCTCTTGATATAGATGTTATCAGGGTTTTAACACCAAATCTTTACAGATAAATCCTCTAGTCATTTCTTCTGTAGGAAGCTAGTAAATAGACACAGAAATTCCAGAACATTTTAATTTTGTAGTAGAGAATGTTAAAGATCTGAATGATCTAAAATGAGAGCATAGGGAAGTATATTCCTATATTCTGCAGATGTGTTTACCCAATATTAGCATAAATAAGTAGAATTAGAGAATTCAGATCTTCTCATCAACTCCTAAATTGATGGCCACAAGCATATTAGGAAATTTAAGGATGAGCTATCATTTTCATAGCAGAAGGAGCAGATTCTCCTTCTGTTTATCTATTTTAGCTCAGGGACATTCAAATCCAGACTCACTTGGTACCAACAGGAGGAATAATAACGGCCCAAGACCCCTGACTCAGATTCACTGTATCTCAGGTGAGTGGCGCCTAAGGCTCTGAGAAATGGGATTAGTCTAGCAATTTACATCCACACACTCTTAGGGCCACAGGCAAGGACAAAGGCTTCTAAGAAGTGATACCCTGATGTCTGTTTGAAAACAGTACAGAAAGAGGAGGGACTCTGACTTCCAGAGTCCCATTCATTCTTCATCCAAAAGAACCAACCAATCTTACTATTAAGGTTTTTTTTTCCTTTAAAAAAACATTATAAACCTCAGTATTCAACTCAAAAAAATGGGAAAAAGAAAGTTAAAGTTGAGTTACAACACAGATGGTCAATCTCAGGGGAACTGTGTCTACAATATCAGTCATCACATTAAATTGAGCATTTGTATGGGCTACACAGCCTGCTCGTCTCTGGTAAAATACACATAAGTATATTTCCCTTCAGAGTCTTAAAGGGAGCCATGAGTCTAGAATCAGTGGGGACCAGGATCATCCTAGCCAGAAGGAGCAGGAGGAGGAAAAGGGGCTTCAAGAGCTCTGTGAGCTAGACTTGCTGAGGTAGGACCTTATGACAGGAGGAATAATCATGGAGGGTCCAGTATGGCCAGAAATGGGCCTAAAGCAGGAGTGGAACACAGACATACATTTCTGTCCTCTCTTCCCCACCTTCTGAGTCAGCCCTTCAGGTCATGGCAAAGGACAGAAGAGAATATAAAATAACCAACATGTCCTGTGGACTAATTTCCCAGGGCTCCAAAGGTTTCCCTGTTTCAACCATAGTTAATCTTGGCTGGGGAGCTTGGCGTGGTGGTGCACACCTGTAATCCCAGCACTCCGGAGGCTGAGGCAAGAGGATCGCTGTGAGTTCAAGACCAGCCTGGGCTACATAGTGAGTTCCAGGTCAGTCTCAACTATATAGTAAGACCCTGTCTCAAAAAAAAAAAAAAAAAAAAAAAACTCTTAGCTGTGGAAAGAGATGAACCAAACAAGCTGGTTCATCAAACTGCAAGACCCAGTTCCATTTGGTAACAGAGAGAAGGATTTTATTTTAATAGAACTGCCTTATTTCTGTTTTCTGCATTTCTGTCAGACAGCAGTGATCTCAGGGAAGACAACCTCTGCACTTCCACTGACCTCAAATCTTTGAAAAGAGAGCACTCCACATATATAAGAATCAAAACTAATTGCAGCCCCCCGTTACAAAGGAAGGCTGTAGTGCATCTTCATGTCTGAGTTTTGCTAATAATAGCAAAATACTCTCATTATCCCTCTTCACATCTTATTTCTGATTCAATTCACTTGCAGCATTTTTCTTTTTAGCCAATTGCGACTCCTTTCCACTACTCTTCCCTTTAACGCTGATTGCTTTCCGTTCTTTGATATCACATTCTCCAGCCTGGAAAGCCCATTTCTCCTGGGGCCCAATCAACTTTTCCTATCGGATAGGCAGCTTGACCCAAAACTTAATGCATTTTCTGATTAATGCAATAATTTTTATTTTAAAAAAAGCAAACTCAAAAATTGGTTTTAAATCAGCTTTAAAATATTGACCAAACTTTAAGTTGAAAGTGCTGAGAGTTTGGGAAATCAGCGACAGAAGATCAATCCATCCCAGGCTAATGAGAGTCCAAGCCAGTTTGCTTCCTCTCGTCCTTGCCGGCTGTTCTTTCCCATGTTCCGGGTCCCTTTGTGTATTCCCCCTAAGTAGAGCCTATTAACTCACGACTCGCTCTTGCAAACCACATAAATTGATTCATTCTCCCAGTAGTCCTGAGAAGTAACTGTTCGTCTCCCTATTTAATGGAAGGGCAAACTGAGACCTCAATTTTTAATGACACTAAAACCACAAAGAAAATCTATTTCAGTGGCTATGCCTGACCAAAGTAGTTTGGAAACAATGACTGTCCTTTCATGTTAATAAATTGAAAGTGTCTACAAAGAATGTACCATCCCTGCCTGCCAAACTCCTACTCAACCTTCAAGATCCAGATCATAGATCTCTTCCTCCATGAAATCATCTGCTCACCCCACAACCTTCTCTAAGCCTTAAGGCAATTAATTGCAGATACTAATGTTGCATATTCAGCATACTGAGATATTATTTCCCTCTTTTCGCTAAAAGACTGAGTTTGTTAGTGCAGGGTTTGTGCCAGTAGTATCTATATCCTCCAGTGCCTGGCACATAGTTGGTACTCGCTAAATGTTGAATGAATGACAAGTTCCAGCCTCTGAAAGGTTCTACCACTTCCCAGCAGCACCACCTGGAGACCAAGCCATTAACAGCTGGGCCTTTGGAGGACATTCAAGATCCAAACTATAGCAGACCCCAGTGGTACCAGACTTTTCAGCTTGATTTTTTATTTTTAAGTGCCTGAAATCCGTTTGTTTATAATATTTAATATGGACATGTATTTTTAAACATTGAGAATTAGTTTTTCTTTAAAAATTTAGACACGTCTGTCTTAATCTATTTTTTTTTTTACTGCTGTAAAAGAACACTGGAAACTGCACTGTTTAGAATGAACAGAAATTGATTGGCTCACAGTTCTGAAGGCTGGGAAGTCCAAGGTCAGGGCCAGCACCTGGCCAGAGCCTTGGACTGAATCATCAATGGCAGAAGATGAAGGCCAAGGGAGAACTAAGCTCACCCTTGTAGACCCACCTGTGAGTCTGTGTGTGAGGTGATGCCCTCACGATGTAATCATCTCTTAAAGATCCCACTTCCTGATACTGTTACAATGGCAGTTAAATTCAACATGAGTTTGGAATTGAGATTTGGATCATTCAAATCCATAGCAAATCGAGAGATGGAATTTTTGTCATATTTTGTGTTACATTTCTACCTTATGTGCCTTTTAACCTATGTCATCAATGGAAATAAGGATATTCTATCAACATTCATAAAGTTCTTATTATGTACAATGCACCATTAGATATACATTAATGAAAACAGACATGGCCTCTTACCTTATGAGGTTTAAAATCTAATGAAGCAAAAGAAGAACAATTAAACAAATAATTTAAAAATTGTGCACCAAGATGCACAAGACAGGAAGCTCAGGATGCTACAGACACATAGAAGTGACATCCAGCCAGTCTTCTGAAGGGTTCAAAGAATGATTCACTGGAAGAAGTGAAATGTGAGGCCTTATAAATAAGCTATTAAAGCAAGGAAGGGAATTAAGAATATTCTAGGAAAAGAAACAAGATAAGCCGACATCTAGGGATGAAATAGAATGGCACATTCAGCAAAGTGAAAGAAGCTCACTTGATTTTGACATAACGTGGAAGCAGTAATGGCAATAGGTCAAGCTAGAGACATAGGCAGAGGCCAACAAGTAAGAAGCCTTGTAAGTCACATTACGAAGGTTGAAGCTAAGGGCAATCCGAAAGCATGAAAGGATTCTAAGATTGGCCTCATCAAGTTGGTGGTTTTCAAAGATCACTAACTATAACAAGAAAAATAATTCATGGCTGATGATAAATAACAGGTAGTGCTTTCCAGGAAGAGAACTGAGATTCTTGAGATTTGGTGGCAGAACGAGTACTGCAGGGTATTGGGGGAATCATGCCATGTAGCTGTAAGAGTTTGAGCAAGGCTGGTCTTTCAGA